ATACAGGCCATAACATAAACCTCCCGGGGAGTATGTGTGAGGCTGGGCTGTCCCAGCTGCTCCTCCTGCTTTAAATATAACAGAATTACATTATGAAAGCTTCATTAAGGCACAGAATCCACAGTAAAGGAAGAAGCAATAGATAAGGATCTCTACAAGCAATAGATAAGGTTCCTTTTCAAAAACATTGAAATCTTCCTATCAAATGAAAAGCAAACCAAGTGTGGACTTGGAGTTATTCCCCATCCTGTTCAAGGTGTCAGGCTAAACAGTGTCATCTGTGTCACTGAGAGCTGTTCAGAGCATAGCATTCCAGAGCCACCCAGGCCTGTCGGATGAGAATCTGCACCTCTAGAATGTTGAGTAGTCCATACACATGAAATTTGGGATACAATTATTTTAGAGTTGTTAATCTGCAACAAGGCCATTTAATGAAATTTCAATTTAAACATTTATTAATAAAAAATACATATTAGTCACTTTTCTTTTTCTATACCAAAATTCCTGAGCTAAGTAAATGCTGTGTAAAGGAAAGTTTTGTTTCATAGTTTTCAAGCTGTAAAGTCGAAGGATGGGAAGTCTCACCTGCTGTCCTCAGATGAGGCCCCCTGGACAGTGTCACAGCATGGTGTGTGGGTGGGAAGTGTACCAGCTAAGCTGCAGTGGCCAGGCCTGTGGTGTGGCCTCACTTATGACCACCCACTCTGGAGAGGACTCCCTCTGTATGTGAGTCCAGCACTGTCCTTCCAGGGGCAGCAGCTCCACTGACCTGGCCCCTACCATCAGGCCCCACCTCTTAAAGAACCAACTATTTCCTATCATGGCCACACTGGGAACAAACCGCCAATACAGGACCTCCTAGGGGAGGACCAATTAGGACCTCAGCAACCTCAATTTTCACCTTAATTAATATGTAATTAATTGACATATTTGAACATTATTGCCCTTAACAAAGCAGAATGTGGACAGGCATTTCTCAACTACTTGATCAACTGGTGAACTCTCCAGCTTGGCTGGGCACTTGGCTTCCTCCTGCAACCTCCCATGAGAATTCTGAGGGTGTCATTCTTGTCCACAATGACTCCGGTGTTTACACATCATGGTAATGCACACATGAAAATAGGAACAGGAGTGAGAGCAGGAGGGCAGAGCAGCTGGATCAAGGGGAGGACAAAGGATGGAATGGGAAAGGACTGGGCAGGAGACTGGGCACAGTGTGACATCCAACACCTCACTGCTGTGTGTGCTCAGAACACACTGGCACCATTGAGGTAACACTCCTCGTTGTGGAAATGCTGACATTTAATATTTTCATATCTACCCATTTAATTAGAATGTTTTTAACTTTAGAATTTATATGAACAAAATCAATTTATTATGTTATTTAGAAAAATTAAAAGTAAGTCATGATTGAAAAAAAATATATAAACTGCATAGAATTTCTGGTGTGGGATGATTTCCTTTTTCAGGTTTGCTGCTAGGAGGGAGTCAAACAGCCTGGCCATCAATCTCCAGAGATTGTCCTGGACACACTGACTACATCTTCATGTTTCTGGTGCAGTATTTGTTCTTCCTACTGAACACATAGAAAATATATGTCTTTGCCAAAGATTTTCACTTTCACCATCAGATCCTCTGCCCACTACTGCAGGCAGCATGGACTTCATCTCCTTGATTTCCCTCCAGTCACAGAAGACATTTTATTTGTTCAAAGTCAGTCCTCACCCACCACCCCATTGGTTCTTTCCACCCAGCTGCACCAACCAGGGCATTTGCATGCTGCTCCCTGGGGCAGGCCTTCCTGCAAGGCTGACATAAAAGCTGAGCTCTAAACTGCCCTTGACTCACCAGGACTCCTCAGCTCAATTTCTCAAAATGAAGCTCCCTGCTCAGCTCCTGGGGCTGCTGCTGCTCTGTATCCCTGGTGAGGACAGAGGGGATGGGTAAGGAGAAGGGGGACAGAGGTGAGCTCAGTGCTTCCTACATGTAATCCCTGCCCAGGTTCATGGTGTAAGATTCAGCTCAAAAGATGGGGAATGTGATGTTCAGATCAATGAAAGGGGAGAAGTGTCTAGAAGGAAAAAGAAAGATCTGTGTCCTAGTGAAGACAGGGACCTAGAAAGAGGAGGTTTATGTGGTCAACCACCAGACAGGTATTGGACATGCCAACCTCTCTCTTATATGACTTGTATTTTTTTGGTAGAAACCCAAACTACATACACTGTACACACAAATGATTTAGTTAAGAAAGAAATTTAGTTAAGAGAGAAATTTAGTTGAAAGAAATCATGAAAATGTTTCATAATACTGTGCATAAACTTTCATTTCTGTCATCATTTCAGGATCCAGTGGGGATGTTGTGCTGATCCAGAGTCTTCTCTCTCTGCCCATCATGCCTGGACAGTCGGCCTCCATCTCCTGCAGGTCCAGTCAGAGCCTCCTTTATAGTGATGGAAAAACCTATTTGCATTGGTATCTGCAGAAGCCAGGCCAGGCTCCAAAGCTTCTGATCTATAAGGTTTCCAGCCAGTTTACTGGGTTCTCAGACCACAGTGGCAGTGGATCAGGGACATATTTCACACTGAGAATCAGCAGGGTGGAGGCTGAGGATGCTGGGGTGTATTACTGCTTTCAAAGTAAAGAGTTACCTCCCACAGTGGTGCAGCCTGGAAGAAAACCTCCCTGCCTGGGTGGCCCAGCTGCCACATGAGCTGATGGTCTGGGCAGCAGCTCAGGAGATTTTCTGAGAGGAAGAAGCTGCAGCTGAGGGCTCTGGACCTTGAGTGCCATGGCCTCAGCTCAGTCACCACCTACCAAGGTCCCACCAGCTGCAGAAGCCCTGGCATGTCACCAGCAGAAGGAAGATTACTGGGGAAAAGATGTACTCCAAGTTGAAATGAAGTAGGCCAAAGTGTAACTAGAAACCATTCAAAACTTCAGAGTTTTTCTGATCTGGGACTCCTTTAAGGGCCCATGCCATGTGGAAAACCAGGTGCACTGGGGCTACATGGGCAGGTCCCTTCCCTTCCTTAGCACCCTGCAGAGGCTGGGAGGAAGGGCCAAGTGTGGCAGT